CAGCTGACTGTCTCGTGTGTGACTTCTTCTCTTTTAATATTCATCCATCAAGCTTATCACAACATATCAGACACTACATGTACAGCTCCCTAAATGTTTTAACACTGTCGTGCAGTTTGTGACGGACATCTAAACCAAATGATGACATTACTTGTCGATCGTGTACAGCGCTGGGAAGAAGAATTTTCCATTGGGACAATGAAGACTGAATCTCTACGTCCTCCCTAAACCCTGAGCCCTTACTGCTCTTATTGACGTCACCTAGAAAGTGATTGAGTGCATGAGGCTGCGAGGGCTCCAATGGTTAAATACAAATGGGACAGCATTTTGCAACTTCTCTGTTGCCATGACTACATGATGTCATGTGGCAAAAGCTTATATTAGTTTTTTTTCCTTTACTCACTCACAGCCGTGGCGCTTATATAAAAAGTTCTACTCAGTATAGGCCTATATATACATTTATTTGTATAAAGGTTTATCTTATATAAATATAAGGGGACTAATATGCTCTGTCTCTCTTGTTTTTGTTTAGAGACTTGCAAACGAGTTCTGAATTAGTCTGTTGTTGCCCTGCAGAGGTGTGACTCTCCGTTTGCTTCTTTCAAACTTGTTTCAGGGGCACAATCAAAGGAAACTTTCTCAATAAATATTCATTAAGTCCAAACATAAAAGCAGTCTCACTTTTTTGGCATCTTTCCCGACATTCTTCAGAGGCTTCACGTCGTTCTCGTCGCTGTCATCGTCTTCATCATCACTACGTAAAGGAGGAAGACAAAAGCTCAGTAAGTGAAAAAACAAAACAAAAAGTTCTCTCAGCACCAATGATAGGAAAAAATTAAGGACTAAATGTCTTCTTATCTAATTTGTTTATTAGACCTAAAATAAAGAAGATACGTAAATGTGGTGTTTCAATGACGATAAAAAAAACACCTTAAAAGAAAACTTACTCGTCATCGTCGTCGCTGTCTTCTTCATCGTCGTCTGATTCCATCTTTAGTTTTTTCTACAAGAAAAATTCAAATACATCTTATTAGCAACACCATGAGAGTCGTACAGAGGACCTGAGCTGTCAACACGTTTCAAGTCTTACTAAAGGTCACCGAAATAAAAATGTACCCTCTTAATTCTGACTGTTTACTCCATCACTCAATGTAACATGTAAGACTGTCAAACGATGACTTTCTTTGTAATTATGATTCAAAGACGAAATCCAATAGTTAACAGCAATTAATCACATTTTTTTTAATCACATTTGAAATCCTTTTATTTAGCTTTTTTCTAGAGTATTTTATGCTTTTATTTTGTATTTTTGTACTGCTTTAATCTAAGGGTACTGTACTTCCTGTTTGGATATAAACCCGCTTTTATTTTGAAAGAAAATAAGGAAGTTGTGGTAGACCAAAAATAACATTAAATTTCATCAAGCAAAAAAGGAACTCGATACAGATTGAAAAGTAAATAAAAACAGTTGATGAGGAACGATAAGAAAGTCACGAGGCTGTCTGAGATTTTCAAAGTAAAATGAGACATTCAAAAAGGTGCTGAGGTGTGCGATCTTTTCCATCACTGTCTCTACGGTGGCCTGCAGGGACGCTGTCATGCCCAAAGAGACCACACGAGGGTATCAGTGTGCCGGCGCTCATCTTTGTCGAGTACTGATTGGTTTGTTGGCTGAATCTCGATGTCCTCCCTAAACCGTTTCAAGTCACAGCGCTATGAACTCTGGGTAAGTCTGCATGCATGCCCACTTATGGACAGGGTGCATAAAGGGCTCAAAAAGTGAGCGAGGGATCCCTCACACACTTGATGATTCGATCGTGGGACAGTCCTAAACTCTCACAGACTTATCGAGAACGTGCATCAAAGTGAGGGAGAATCAGTCATCTCTTTTAAGTCTCTTCTTCTTAAGACACTTTTTCCGGCGAGCCTTTCCTAATTTTTGTTGATTTTAAATTGTTACTATTTTCACTTTTTAGAATTCCTTTCAAAGAATTGTATGTATTTTAAAGTTCTTTTAAAATGGATTTTAAAGTGATTTTTATTCCTTAATCTTGCCTTGTTTATAATTCTATAACCTGCCTGTTTTTATATTTGCTGTCCTTGTAAAGCACTTTGTAACTTGTTTTTGGAAAGTGCTCTATAAATAAAGATTATTATTATTATTATAAGTGAGTGTGTGAGGGGAAACATCGAGATCGGGCCTCTGATAAACTCCTTCTGTTGTTTGTTTGTAAATGTTTGCATGGTCTGGGTGGACTGTGGAACTGAATTGCCGTCTGGGATAAGTTGTCTAAGTCACTTTATTGTCCCCTTGCAGAAATTTGTCTTGGACTCAAAGTGCTGCACACAGTTGGCTTTCAATTATCAAATAAGAACTACAACATGTTTTTATTAATACTAGCTTCATATCATGTGATTAAAGTTTCAAAAGATGATATTTCCCTTCACAGTTGAAGACAGCTCAGAGGGCTGATTGAACACAATAAGGTATCTACCAACAGAGGCTTCTTCCCCGACATCAGACTTGCAGGCCGCTTCACCGGTGACGAGTTGTTTTCCTCTTCTTCATCATCTGAATCCTTCACACCTGGAAAGTAAACGCAGGTCACTGGAACTGCAAAGCGATTGTAATTCTGATTCAACCAGGAAGTCTTTGTCAGGACATTTTTAATCATCTTGGAAACAGCAGGGCATAAATATATTTACTATCAACGGTTAAGTGTAGTATTATCAGATGAAAGACTATTTATGCATGACCCTCACCGTGTGTCATAAGTGAAAGTCAAAAGATTATCTCTGTGTTTCCACATTCAAACGTGCTTCCATGTTTTTCCTTCTTCTCTTCCCATAAAATCACAGTCAACAGTAAAGAAGAAATACGTGCTGTAAAATCTGTTTTTGAAGGTCTCTCAGAGGAAATAAAGAGTTTAAATTGTCTTCCTGCATGACGATTTCTTTTGTGTTCAGCGATGTCTACAACGTGAAGTTTCTGCACAGCTGTGTCGCTCGTTTAGTTCAGTTTGTTTTCTCTTTGTGGAGTCTGCTCTCCTACTAGCTACAGGACGGTAATCGAGCTCTCAGCCTGCAGGGAAAGTTGTGAAGCAGAGACTCCGCTGGTCACTCTTTAACTTTCCCACTGGACTTTAAACTTATTTTCTTACATGCACTCTGTGAGTAGGTTACATACACTGTAAGATTTTTTTCTCATAGTCGACTGCACAGCTCCTACACTGCACCTTTTGTACATTTTGTGTCTTTTATATTTGACATTTTTAAATCATATTTTATATATTGTAATAGCTTCTTATTCTGTATTATTTAAGTTGTTGCTAGTTCTGCTTTATTTCCTTGTTAATTGTTTAGCACCAATACACCAAGTCAAATTCCTTGTATGTGTAAATGTACTTGGCAATAAACCGGATTCTGATTCTGATTCTGAATAACATAGGACTCTTTCAATCAAAAGAGCACTTGATAAGGTTTATTTTAGGGAACAATCTCCCACCGTTTTCTGTAAATGTCTGATTATGACATCGTGAGGGAAAACGTTGCGCAGCCAGACCGTTCTTTCCAAACTCAGCGTGCAATCAGCTTTCAATACACACTCAATGAGGATGTATTCTTAATCAAGAAGTGTGTGGTGTATGACAGCGCTTGTATCTGCACTTTATATTGGTCGCACCGGTGCATAAGACGCAGCCAACTTTTAAAATGAAAAAAAAAAAGTATTAAAAGTGTCTCTTAAACGGGGCGCGCTGGTGGCCCAGTGGTTAGGGCGCGCGTCCCATGTGTTGAGACTCTCGTCTCGAGCGGTAGGCCCGGGTTCGCTTCCACCCGTGGCCCTTTTCCGCATGTCATTCCTCGCTCTCTCTCCCTGGTTTCCGACTCTATCCACTGTCCTCTCTCTGCATTAAAGGCACGAAAAGCCCAAAATAAATCTTTAAAAAACATCTCTTAAATCTCTTAAACACTGGATTTGACGGGACATCCCAAAATCTTAAAAGTTATAGTATTGTCTGCTTCTCTACAGAAAAAGATAAAAGCAACACTTGCAGCTGCTGTCATCATACTCACTGACAAAATGCTGCCCGCTGATGTGAACTGGTCCAGAGCCGGACTGAAGACGAAAGGTAACCGGAGGTGTGATCTCGAATCCCCCTAAACTCATCTGCACAAGAAGAAGAAAAAGATAACAAAAAAACTCTAAAACTGATCATGATTTTTGTTTTATTGGATTAAAAAAGTCAGAGGCTGAACACTATTTGATCACTGTAGGTTTAAAGAAAGATAATGGGGAAAAAAAACAAATATTGCTGAAACGTATTGCTTAATAATGAAAGTCTTGTGTGAGCTTGCGTTCACTCACAGAGGGCAGGACGGACGGTTTCAGAGCAACTAGTGGCACTTTGGTTGCTTTCCCATCATAAGTCAGACCCTCGACTTCCACCATGTGGAACTTATCCTCGGCCTCGGCTCCCAGACACACCTGGAAAAGGAAAGATCATTCTGTAGAAAAACAACCTCCACTCCAATACAGCTAATGCAAGAAAGTAAATAATACCCAAAAAATACGGCAGACAACTTTCCAAAAATGAATTACAGTTCAAGTGTCTCACAAAAAGCTTTTGGTTTCAAGGGCTTTAGGATTTGTGCAGGTTGGACTTTAAGTAAGACATAAACAGTGGAGTAGTGCAGGGTTAACGCAGATAATAATCAGTGTATACCCAACTTATTTATCAGTTTCCATCGGGGTAAACAAACCCACTTCTAAATCTCCTCTGACTCACATCAATGATTGATTGAGAATATTCAGCGTGCTGCAAAAACAAATTTAAAGGACGTTGAAGGGACGACCCTCCCCACTCTGTCTCTAATAATCTCTAATAACTAAATATGCAAGAGTAGTCTTACATGTCACTGTTTATACTCTGCTGGATGGGCCACTTTAAAAAAACTTTGGGGGGGGGGGGGGGGATTAAGAGTGCAGTATACCCACTTCTTAACCCACCACTGGACATAACTCTCTGCTGGCAGGTCTTCCTACAGTCACAATCAAACCCCTGCAGATGATACAAAATGCAGCAGCACGACTCGTCTTCAACCTTCCTAAAAGAGCACATGTCACTCCGCTGTTCATCTCCTTACACTGGCTCCCAGTTACTGCTCGCATCAAATTTAAAACTCTGCTGCTCGCTTACAAAACGACTCCTCCTTACTTTAACTCTCTGATCCAGGTCTACACTCCCTCCCGCCCACTACGCTCTGCCAATGAAAGGCGTCTGATCCGACCTTCACAACAGGGTCCTAAGTCTCTGACTAGACTCTTCTCCTCTGTCGCCCCCCGGTGGTGGAATGAACTTCCAAACTCCATTGGATCTGCAGAGTCCCTCTGCACCTTTAAGAAAAAGCTAAAGACCCAGCTCTTTCATGAATACCTACTAACTTAATGATGATGGTCTCCATATTATTGATGATGATGATGGTAATGACGATGGTTTTTGTTTGATAAGGACGACTTATAAGATGGTTTCTATACTGATTAGAGCTCTCAAGAACTGCCCTCAATGTTGTGCTTTGCCTCTGGTCACTTCCTGTCAGCACCTGTGTGTCCAATCAGACTCAAAGCTGATCGTTTGCTCTTACTGACATTGTTCCCTTTTTTCTAGATCCTTGCTTGTGTTGTTCTTACTCTCTGATGTACGTCGCTTTGGATAAAAGTGTCTGCTAAGGGAATTGTAGAATAAACACAACAACACTGGGCTTCTGTTTTAAAAATGTCATTGTGTGTATTTTGCTTGGTGAAAAAAAACAAGTTAAATAATAAAGAGGATGCATTTCATCATCAAAAAGATCGAAATCACAGTTGAACAAACAGTTTTGAGTTATAGTTTCATCTGCAGAGTGACACAGCATGTGTGTGTGTGTGTGTGTGTGTGTGTGCGTGTGTGTGGGTGTGTCTTACTGCTTTGAGTGACAGCTGTTGCTCCGTATCATCGTCGTCTACATCAACTTTGAACTCCCTTTTGTCCGATTTCAGGGTACAACCTGAAGAAACGCAATGTGCAACATGCAACCAGCATTAAACACGATGATATGCACACTTATTTAGAACAGAATGCATCTTATTAAGACATATAGAAGCGTTTAATCTGTGCGCAGCCGACGTGTTCCCATGCACTGAAAGGCCAGCTAACAAAAGAGCTGAATTGGCGCCAGCAGCAGCAGGCAGTGATTTAGCTAATTTCCTCTTAATTAAAATGTAAACTAACTAGCTGTGAATGATGACGTGGCATTTCAGCTGATTGTGCAACAGGAACATGTTAAGTTTGTCTGAATATGAGGGCTCACCGAACAAGTACATTTGCGGTCTGCTCGAATCTGAGATATCGTCCTCCATCTTTGCAGTGGCCGTGTACGCTTCCGTAAACTGGTGTGACGGACGCGTCAACGAGCCAATCGCGAACCAGAGCGTCACTGACGTTCGAGAGGACTTGAGCCAATTGGAATTCGAGAGAAGGCGGGACAAACGAAGCTGAACGTTTCGGGGGGATGAACACTAGATGGAGCTGTCGTGAAAGAGATTCGTCGTTTACCAGAAAGAGTAAATAAAAAATACAAAATAAAGGATAATGAATTAAATATAATATAAAGATGTTTCCTTTTTAGCTATAAATAATGGAATTAAGTAAAAATTTGGTTCACTGCATTGCTGTACATATATAAATCACAACTTCAGAAGGTCAATACTTTTTTTATTTTTTATATTCAGGTCTAATTACAGATTTTTTCCCTCAACTGTTTTTAGGTTCTTGCTTTAAATTTCACATATTTTTTATCCCTGCACGGGTTATGTACATTTCTTGTATAAGTCTATTTTTAATTGCACAGTTTAAGTTTGATTCATTAGAGGTATTCTTTAAATCTTTTTTCAGGTTAATATATATGTATGGGGGAGGGGGGGCGTCGGTTTTGCGGTTTAATTTGTAACAAATGTTTCATGTCATGTACGTCTTTGTAACCTGCTACTGGATGCTTTGAATTTCCCTCAGGATCAAAAAAGTATCTATCTATCTATCTATCTATCTATCTATCTATCTATCTATCTATCTATCTTTACACTCTGATTTTCCGTTTATGTTCAGGCTCTTTTTGCATTTGTTTGTAACTCCCTTATACACAATGGCGCCCTTAAAATAACTATTACAGCTTTTATATTAAGATTGGGATATTCTCCCTAAAGTCCACCGCTTAATGTGCCGTTTGGACTAAATAAAAGAGGCCTTTGGTCAGTGATATTAAAAGTCCAGCCCTAGGGGCAGTTGCAGCCTTTTAAAAGAGTGTTCTGTGGTTGCTAAAAAAAAAAAATATTGATAATAAAATGGAGAATCATTGCAGGCTGGATTATTACGGGGAGAGACAAATTGACCTAAATTCTCAGACTGTGCACAAAATAAAAGAGTGGCACGGTTTGTTTTCAGGGAGAAGCTGCACACCAGTGAAACATGCATGAACAAAATGCAGACTTCTAAGCTGTGAACTTTGCTGTACTTACTTCTTTTTCTATCTGCCATGCACCTTAACAGCCGTTGCTTTATCTGGCCTCATGCACTACATCATCACTTTATTCTATCCATTTTATATCAGTATTCATACAGTTCTGGTTTCTTTATTCCTGTTGTTTCTTATCCATCATTGCACTACTTATTTATTTCAGTATTTACCTTTATAGTTATATTGTATATTAGTTCTGTTGTTCCACTTTTTGCCATGCACCTTATAACTTATCATTTAGTATTTGCCTACTTGCACATAGCTCTGTATATTTATATATTTATTTCTTGTTTACTGCAATTAGTTCTGTTTACATCTGTTAGTCCGATCACTGTCCACTTTTATATTTTGTATTTTAAGTTAAGTTTAAGCTTTAAGCTGTATCTAAATTGACACTTTATATTTAGGTTAAAATGTTAAAATGTTTAAAATGTTTTGTTAATTTACTGCTCTGTGTGCCTTTGAATTGCCCCCTGGGGACAAATAAAGTTTTTTGAATTTGAATTTGAATTGAAAACATGTAAACAACCTTTAAGTCTGTTGATGTAAACTCCGTCCATTTATTCACTTTTATGATGAGTCGACTGAACTGTGAATGAACTGATTATGTGACTGAAAAGGTCAAGAATATTCATATATTTCATCAGTTATATGATTCCTTTTCAGTAAGAAATACATTATGTATGCTGTTTTGCCATTCTTTTCTCCCGCCCTGAATGTCAGAGCTGTTATCTCAAAATCCACTGATGGGTCAATGTTTTGCTCAAAGGTATGTTGCAGGTATGTTTTCAGATGCAGGTGCTTGAACCAGGGCCCTGTTCAAGAGCCAGCTTACGCTCTGTGGGCTGCAGGCTTCTGTCCTTCAGGGTCAGCATTCACCTTTATTCTGTGAGTACTCAAATGATTTCTTATGCCATCATTTTTTTTTTTAAATGTCAAGGTGCACGGGCATCTGTTGCAAAATGTGTAAATTGTGTAACGGCAGCAAAGTTGCTCCATGGTGAAACACCTTTTGTAATCTTCATATGTGTCACACAGTGTGTGTCTATCTGAACCATAGTGAGCAGGTGTTGAGTCACTGAGGCGCAGCAGCAGCAGCAGCAGCAGCAGCAGCAGCAGCAGCAGCAGCAGCAGTATTACCCATGAGGAATGAGTTGAGTTGTCTTCATGCATGCCTGAGAGCCTGAGAAGTTGAGAAGGCTTTAATGTGTAACACACTGCCAGGACACGTCTGCAGATCCGCTCCCATGGCTGATATGACGCCATTGCACATGGACTTACTCAACACTTTTTTTACTTTAGCACAGATTCGTCAAGGTAAACTAGAAGTAACCTTTTTACATTATGTCAAATTTACGAGTCGTCTTCTATCCCCTCAGAGCCAGTTTGTGATGACCTTTGACTTGACATGTGGTTTGTTTTGTGTGTGTATATATTTTTCTATCTCTCTATTCTCACTCCTAATATTTATTTTCTGTCGCCTGCCATCCAGATTACAAGTTAATCAACATTTTTGCTAACTTTGGTATGTTTACACCCTGTATTTTGCACAGAGGTTTATGAATGTGCTCTGTTTAAATCAAATCAACAAAATAAAAGACAAACATTTTCTATATCCTCATAGCTTTAATCTAAATTTGAGGATGCTAATATTGATACCTGTGCTTTTTTGCTGTATTTGTGCATCATCCTTTGCATTTCCTTCTGTCTCTGCATGCACTATTTCTATGCAAACATGCATATATGTGTGACTGTTTGCACATAATGTGAGTGAGTATGTGCGCTTCTGTGAGTTTGTAAATGGAGGTGTGAAGAGAGAGCGGGGCCATGACAGCGCGTCATGTCAGCAGGTCTCTTTCTTGCCGACCGAATGCAGAAAGAGTTCCTCATTCTTCACCTGGAAGTGACTCAATCCTCCAGGATTTTCTTCCACTGCCACAGCCAACAGTTTTTTTTAAAATCATCATTCAAACCATTTTTCAAAATAAAGCGTACAATAGCCGCCTTTAAAAAAGCACTTAGTCAAAATTAAATGTACATTTAGTGTTATATGACCTGAATGCATGAATATATATATTTGTAGTTATGTGCTTCTTTCCATCTTCTTTGATTTGGAGTCATGGTATTTAACATTTTTTAAAGGCAGACTTACAATAACTCAAGATACCCTGATTTTTTATTTTATTTTATTAATCCCTGAGGGAAATTCTGTTTTTACACTCTGTTATTAGAGACATGCTTCTCACACACATGCACAAACTGTGGACCTGCATTAGTGGAGAGATGTCAGAGTGGGGCTGCTACACACTGATACAGGGAGCACATATTATGGTCCTCACCGGGACTTGAACCGGCGACCCCTCCAGTTCCCAACGGACTGAGCTACTGCCGCCCAGATTGTCCTACTTGTTCCCCTTTCATTACAAAAACAAAAGTCTATAGCCAAACCATCATGTTAGAAAAAAAGAGACCGTCTGCACCCGGGAGGTTTGAACCATTTTAATTAAACAATATAGAACAATAATTTCCAGAGCAATAACACATTAGAAGCTCCTTTAAAAAACTGAATATCTTCAGACTGTTTCATCGATTGTGGTTCAGAGTCCTCACTGATGTTGGGGCCTCAATAAATAGGGCTCATAAATAAATGGCTCTGGGAAAATAACTTACACAATACCCATGAGGTAACTTGTTTTTATTTCTAGCTGATTTAAATCTGGTTCAAAGTTTCCATCAAAACATAAAAACTGTTCAGAACACGTGTGTTTTCTTCCAATGTAGTGGAACAAAACTATGACAGGATTTTCTGTAGCCGAGCGAGTCAGTACAAACAATACGAGCCTGATAGTAGAATCATTGATTTAGTCTTTCATATACTATTGTTATATTCATAGTAACTCAGACTAACAGGCTGTGGTGGTACTTCAGAGTCAAGTGCTATAAAAGCTTTTGTCAACAAAGCCTCGCATGTCATCACATTAACAGTTATTTAATAGTTTGACATTCTGAGGCGGCCGTTGCACGACTAAATCTCGAGTCTGCAGCAGCTGCCTGCAGAGGCCTGAAAATGTTCATACGACTGTGGACTGATAGTATTACATCAAGGTACCAAGAAAAAGATAACATCAAGAGAACATAGAATTTATATAGAATTTTCTATAATTAAACACTATTTGTACATTTATGCACGATTGCTTTTCATTACATATTTTGATTTGCATAGTGCTGCGCCTGCACATGAACATTTGAGTCATCAGGCCATAAAAACTGTTAAAAAGTGAAACTCTTCTGTGAACTACAAACTACCTTTGTTTACCTAAGAGAGGAAAGCCAGCAGGCTATTTGAAGGCGCACTCACTTAGAGACGAGGATTACGTTTATATGCTTTTAATTAATCATTGAAAATATCAATATAAAAATCAAACACATGCAAATGACAGGTTTGGACCACACGGGGTCTTTTTCAAGTTGTGGGAGTGTTTGTATTCAAATTTATATTTTATATTTTTAGTTTGAATTTTTAGCCTACTTTGCACTTTGAATTGCTCCACGGGGACAAATACAGTTTTTTAAATTTTAATTTGAATGAATTAAGCATTGGGAACACTGAAGTCCACTTATGTCAACATGTAGCCTGTAGGATGAATCACTCCAACACATGTTTAACCGCAAATGTCAATAAAAATAACATTTGGCCATAATTACATAGAAAAAAGTTGATTTTAATAGTGTTTAATAAAATATATATGCATACCCATGCATATGCTGCATTTATTCAGACAGTCCCATCCTAATGCTGGGCTTTGTATGAAGCAACACATGTCAGTAAAATAGGTCCAATAAACGCAGAAACCCTGGACTAGCTTAAAAAGTGTT